TTATTTCATTGTTATTCTATTCTGATTATTCTCATCTACCTTGTTTGAGTTTCTAAAATAATATAAATGGTAGATCAGAAATTGCACTATCTGTTGTGATGATTTGACAGTTTGTGCAATATTGGAATGGCATTTGAGGTCTACCAATGTTCCATGTAATTCATGAACATTAAGATTTGAATTTCTGATTGTAAATTCTTGAATTTTTGGGTGTAAACATGTGATTTTGATGTGTAAAAATAAGATGCTTATGTGGGAGGTTGAATTTGAAAGTTTATTGTTGAAATATATAAAGAGATAGCTGTAAATAGTTGATAAGATGGATGTAAACATGAAGTCTTTAACTTTCAGTTGTGAATTATTGAATTTTCCATTGTAAATATGTGAACTTGACATGTGAAAAATGATACGTTAAAGTTAGTGGTTCACAGTTGAACAATTGATGAGGTAGTTTAAAATAGTTGATGAGATGATTGTAAAATTTAAGGAGACAGTGCTAATGTTGTTGAGAAATTGTGACACAACTTTTACTTGTTTTTGACAGGTATAAAAATTAAAAAACTCATGTTTGTATTTCTAAATAGTGGCCCCCTATTTGTGTTGTGACTGTAGATTAAAATCTAATTATATCATATGTGTATTGGCAAGTAATACTGAGTAGGAGTGAATATTTCAAATTTACAAGTGTTGGCGCTGTTTACCTAGTTAGATTCATTTTATCATTCCAATAGATTATGGCTTGCATTTAGTAATGCGGCTTCAATGATAGGAAAACAAAAAACTACTTGAGTGGAAGGGCATGTTAATGCCTCTGGTTGAAAAGGTCATTATATCTCACTGTCAATACAAGTTCATATATCATTTTACACAATTATTTGCATTTCACCTATGCATTTCACCTATGTTGCAATGGCTCATTTCCATGTTGATATGGTGTGGGATTTAGTCTATGATCTCAACAACAGAGCATAGGGAGATACTATGTCAACAGTCACATGAAGCTCTAGAATTTCAGAAAAGCAGTAAGCCAGCAACCAGTGAGGTACCTATGCAACGCTCTAAAGGAACAGGTAGAGAAAAAGTGATTCCAAAAATTAATCAAGGAACACAGATACAATTTTGCATTGACATTCCCAAATTAACTCATTTGATGATTACTATTCTACCATTAGCAGGAACTCTTGAAACAACTCTTTTCTTCTCTCTTAAAAGCTTCTGCTCAAGACAAAATTGACTCTAAAAATGACTCTCTCTAGTCTCCCCAAACTAAACGTATTCAAAAAATTAGACATTTTAAACTAGGAACATTCTTGCTATGCTCCTTATCTTCTTCTACTGATTGCTACAAGAAAGATATTGCCACGGAGGGCAACACAAATTGTAATCATAATCAATACAAATATTGTTCATCCCGTCAAGAGATCCCATCTTCTTACTCAAATTGATGAGACAAACGTGAGGAGATGATATGCTATCTTCTTGTTAACTGAATGAGGAACTGCTAAAATCAGTCTTCAATTAAAAAAAAAATAGTAATGAAAATAGCCAGAATAATTGGGACAAATTAGAGTGGGTAAAAATTGGAATTCAATATAATTCATGGAGAAAGAAAAGCATTAGATCTATATGGACTCATTCAAATACTTGAATGAAGTACACTAAAGTTTTAAATTAATAAGAAAGATAGACGCTACAGAAGATGCCTAAATATGTCTTTTACATGCTTAATTTTCTCAGCAGTATTCAGAAACAACACAGAAAGTAAAGCTCCACATTACAGAGTAAGAATGCAAGTGAGTAGAGTTGAGAAAAACCTCTAGGGCAATGAAGCAAAGACAATGAGAGAAGGTGACGGCACTGTAAAGGGAAGCATATGAAGATGACAACGCAGCAAGTAGATGAACACGTTGGCGAAGGGATGCAGATGAAAGAAATGGCCTAAGGGTTCGCACCATTGCTCTGTGGAGAAGGGATGCAGATAAACGTGGAAGGAGAAGGAATACAAAGGAGCAAGAAAACCTAAAGGGTATCTTTGTCATTGTAACCTAACAAGTAAAGGTAATATTGTCTTTCTACATCTCTCTTAAATTACACTCAGGTCCAAGGAACTTGATTATAGTTTCTAGATTTCGTAGAACTTATTTGAAGATAAGTCTCTTGTACAGGACTTATACATAATTTTCCCTTAACTAAAACTAACTTCTTCAGTCAAAATGATTTTTATTTGGTGAAGTGATACTTAAATCCATTTAGCAATTGAACGAGGCATTGATATACACAAGATTAAAGAGTATTTTATTGTAGATAAGTCAAACATCATATCTTAGAATATGTTCTGCGGACTGCTGTTCACAGAACATGTTATGAGAACCAAAAAAAAAAAAAAAAAACTTGTTTGAATATTCTAAAAGATTATATTTAAAAACAGAAATATAAAACAATTGTTTTCAGCACATGTTTGAAAAAAAAAAATTATGGTCCTGTTACTTATCTCTATAGCCTCTAGGACCGTACCCAAAAAAAAAAGTGTATAATGAGAATTCAAATGTCAATCAAACAGCAACCAAAGCTTCCCAAAAAAAAAAAAAAAAGCTACCAAGTACCTACTTCCAAAAAATATATGTTTACCCCTACAAAGGAAGAGCTACCGAGACAAGATTTAATATTTTTCCTTCGATTAAGTGCTAAACCAGGATAAATCTATTCACTAAGTTGCAGGCGAATCATCTAGGACTACTAGAAGTCTGTCTTTTCAAGTAAACCTATTCACTAAGCAAGAACAGTGGCGGGCTGAGCGATAACTCTCTCCATTAATTCACTCTAGTTAGTTAACCAGAATAAAAATCCAACATTTCTTAAATTTGCAGGCATCGTCAAATAGAACCATAAAAAATAGCTCGAAAACAAACCTACAACGCATGGTAAACAATGGCTACTTCTGTATATGGATATACGTTGACCATAATACTTCTGCAGATTCACTCATCTAATCAATGAATACGATCAAATTGACGAAGGCCCATATATGATGCAGGTAATTGGGGATTGAGAAAAACGCAAACAAAAATACGAAAGTAGCAGGCTTTCAGGTAGTGAACAGCGTGAGCAGAACACATGAAGAAACTTAGAGGAAAAAAAAACAAGAGAACAGAGTCAAAGCAGCAGAAAGATAACAGGGCAGAGCAAGCAGAACGCTCAATCTAAAAAGGGAGAGAGAGAGAGAGAGAGAGAACGAAGAACCAGAACAGAACGAAGAAGGAAAGCATAAAGGACGCACCTGGCTCACGAGCACGAAGTCGACGAGCCGGGTTCTCTCAGGCGAAGAAGAATGAAGTAGGCAGTGGCTCTCTCAGACGGACGGAACTCGGACGCACGAAGTGGATGAAAGCCGTCTAAAGCACGATGAGGAATTGAGGCAGTAGGTTGGCAAAAGTTAGATGAAACCCGGCTCCCAGGCAGCGCTCAGGCCCCGTAAATCCTTTCTTATTATTGTTCATTTTTTTTTAAAAAAAAAAAACATAACCATTAAGCATTACAATTTTATCAACTTTTACTTTTAATTTTTATAATTTTTAATATTTTTGATTTTTATGATTTTAAAAAATTTGAGTGACACTTATTTTTTAAATTTTTATAGTTTTATTTTTTATTATTTAGTATTTTTTTTATTTTTTTAAATTTTAAAAATTAAAATTTATAATTATGATATTTCATATTTTTTTAAAAACCACAAAATTATAATATTAAAAAATTAAAAATAAATTATAAAAAATTTAATTTTAAAATATAAACATATAATCTACAATATAAATTTAATTTAAAAATTGATTATCTTTTAGGAGTAAAATAAAAATGAGTTTAAAAAGTTTACTTGAACCCCTTTTTTAAGATCAAGTTTTAAAGTTCAGGTTTTTTTTTTTAAAAAGAAATTCATGTCCAAACTCTTATAAAAATGACCTTGAATGAGCGATCAGCCAAGCTTGGCTTTTATTCCTTGTTTTATTTTTCTCCTCTTTCTTGTTCCCTGAAACAATAATTCAAAAACACCCTAAACATGTTTATGCTTTTTATTCTCTTTTACAGAATTCAGTTTTTTTGTTTTCTATTACACTTTCCCGACTAAAAATACCTTATCAAACAGATGTTTTTTTTTTTCCCCCGAAAATATAGTCGCAAAAGGGATAACTTGCTTGACATATATTTTAGAGCAAACAACAGACATTCTTCTCAAAAGGTTTTCAAGACATATTTTTGAAGATTATATTGATAAATTAGACATGATTAACTTCTCCGTTCAGACTTAAGAGAGGGTGGTGAGCTTGACGGGAGATTTAGTAATTAATTTTATTATACAAATGCCAAACATGGTATTATTGAGTAATCCCATTTTGGCAGATTTTGTGAGATAGAGAGGCTTCTGGGGACCTAAATTTTTTTTTTTTTTTTTGCGTTCTTGCTGATATATGTCAACTCTGTACATGAGTTCTGTAGCATGAAATGTGATGTTTCAAATCTACAGTAAGCGAAGAAGAAAATGGACATCACAAGAAATTATACACGGCAAGGCCAACCAAGAAACCCAATAGTGCACCAGCAATAACTTCAACCTCAGTGTGGCCTATCGATACTTTTAATGGGAATAGACCATTTGCTGCCAACTTTGAGAGTTCTTCTGCATCTGTTGAAAAGCCTGATGATGATAGCTCCTCACTGGTTTTCTTTCTTTTACTGTCAGATTTGACCAACACTGATGCATTTCTCGGTTGTGTTTCTGAGGAATTGGCTTCTGGGGAAAGAAGGGACTTCTCTAAGCTTTTTACATTCAAAGAAGTTGATGTTCCTAGCTGGGAATTGATCAACCTATCATCTCTATCTTTGGAATCTACAGAATTTTCTAGCATCTGGAGTAGTTTGTTCAATACTTTGGCATGATTCCCCACTTCTCTTCTTACACCCTGCAAATCACAACAGCACTCAACATTCCAAGAACCACAAACATTTATATGGATACGAGAAATGCATGATGAGGACACCAACACATGATAAAATATGCATTGCTTCAATTTTTTAAATGCAACTTCTTGTCTAATGCAAGCATGACACATACAGGATATGGCACTACATTGTTTATAAGTTCCTCTGAACATGTTTCACTAAAATCAATAAAAACTTTAAACTTAATTAACTTTGTCTAAAAGTTTAACAAGTCTTCAACTCCCCCTTATTAAATATACAACAACAACAACAACAAGCCTTTATCCCACTAGGTGGGGTCGGCTACATGGATTGCAAGACGCCATTGTGCTCTATCATTTATCAAGCTTTTAGGAATATTATTAATTAAGAGATCACGTTCAACAACTTCCAAGAGTGTTCTCTTAGGCCTTCCTCTACCTCTCTTAATCGGACTCAAAGTTATATGTTCCACTCTTCTCACTGGTGCTTCCCTTGGTCTTCTTTGTACATGCCCAAACCATCTCAACCGATTTTCTACCATTTTTTCCTCAATAGGTGCCACCCTCACTTTTTCGCGTATGTGCTCATTTCGAATTTTATCTTTACATGTATGTCCGCACATCCATCGTAACATTCTCATCTCTGCTACTCCAACTTTATGCTCTTGCTGTCCCGTTAGAGCCCAGCATTCACTACTATATAACATTGCCGGTCTGATAGCAGTGCGATAAAACTTTCCTTTAAGTTTATTAGGTACCTTACGGTCACAAATAACTCTTTTAGCTTTTCTCCAATTAAACCACCCAGCTTGAATTCTATATGAAATATCTCCACTGATTTCGCCATCATTTTGAATAATGGCTCCCAAATATCTAAACTTTTCCACTTGAGGTATAATTTGATCTCCCAATTTCACTTCCAAATTATTTTCAAATAGTCCTTTACCAAATTTACAATATAAATATTCCGTCTTACTTCTACTCAGACGAAAACCTTTCGACTCCAATGTCCTCCTCCTTAACTCAAGTTTGCAATTAACCTCTTCTCTTGTCTCTGCTATAAGAACTATATCATCCGCGAAGAGCATACATTTCAGGATTTCCTCTTGAATATGTTCCGTCAAAACATTTAAAATCAAGTTGAACAAATAAGGACTCAGAGATGATCCCTGATGTAGTCCAATCTTTATAGGAAAATCCTTTGTTTGACCACTAGACGTTCTTATACTAGTTTTTACCCCCTCATACATATCTTGTATGGCTTTAATATAAGCAATCCGTACTCTCTTTTTTTCCAACGCTTTCCAAAGCACTTCTCTTGGTATACGGTCATAAGCTTTTTCCAAATCAATAAAAACCATGTGTAGATCTTTATCTTTACAACGATACTTTTCCATTAATCCCCTTAGTAGATAAATCGCCTCTGTAGTTGATCTACCTGGCATAAAACCAAATTGATTCTCAGAAATACTTGTCTCCAATCTCAACCTGTGCTCAATTACTTTCTCCCACAATTTCATTGTGTGGCTCATGAGTTTAATCCCTCTATAGTTAGTACAATTCTGAATATCTCCTTTATTTTTATAAATAGGAATTAATGTACTTCTCCTCCACTCATCAGGCATTTTCTTGGACCGTAAAATCACATTAAATAACTTAGTTAACCATCTCACCCCTTCTTCACCTAAACATTTCCACGCTTCGATAGATATACAATCAGGTCCGTTGGCTCTACCATTTGTCATTTTCTTAAGAGCTTCCTTTACCTCCTTATCACGTATTATTCGATAGAATGACAAATTTTGTTTTCCTTCACCAGTTACTAAATCCTCCAAGTTACTAGATGAATCCTCTCCATCATTGAAAAGTTTAGAAAAATAAGTCTCCCATCTATTTTTAATTTCATCATCTGTAACTAAAATTCTTCCCTTTTCATCCTTAATACACCTTACCTGTTCTAGATCTCTTGATTTTCTTTCCCTACTCTTGGCAATCTTATAAATATTTTGCTCTCCTTCCTTCGTCTCAAGGTTCTTATAAAATTCTTCAAAAGCTTTAGAACGAGCTTCACCCACAGTTCTCTTAGTTTCCTTCTTAGCCATATGGTACCTCTCCCAATTTTCCTCATTGTTACATAGCCTTATTAAATATACATACTTTAAAAATAAAATAATCCAGCATTTAATAATTTTCTGCCTCCAATGGGGACAAAAGTATAAAGGTGGACACAAAAATTAGAGGTGCCTTATGAATAGGACCAAAACAAATATTCTCCCTCTACCCTATAAATAAAACAAGGAGTCATTAGCATTTTTGTTCTTTTGTTTCTATGTTTTGGTCAACTGGTGTCTGAACCAGCTTGCGTGAACTTCAATTGATTTACCCCTCCAGTCTAGAGAAAGCAGGTTACCAATGTCATGGCTGGGTATTTCACAGGAAATTTTCTTGCATTATGGTACTAAGCCATTGGCACGGCTAAGGTTCAAAACAGAGAAAGTACATCTAATCAATCACATGTCAGATACTTGCTTCTACTAGCCTATCACTAAACGAATTACTTGGGTTAAAACAAGAAAGGTTCTAGATGTAAAGAAACTTTTTTCAAATAAAATTTGACGTAGACGCCTATTATTCAGCTTCAAACCATTACAACAATGAGCTGCAAAGAAGCATTCTTCCTGCAGGACCTAAATAGTGGCCTGAAAACAGTGTTTTGTTTCAGTGAGGGGAATAATGGGGTTAAATAAATGCTAAACAAAAAGACTGATTTAAATGAAACATTGAACCATGTTCCCTTCAAAGCAGCCAAAGAAAACTACTTTCCTTCAAACAACCTTTTTTCCACAAAATGGACATGGAAAAAAAAAAGAAAAGAAAAGAAAAGAAAAGAAAGACATGGATGGAAAATGACTGATCCTTTATTACCAATGAAAGCACGGTTCACCCTTAAAAACCATATCATTTTTACGCATAACCAATAGGACCCTTGAAATAATCAACGACAAAATAACCCCAAAGCAAGACATGGTGCAATTTTTTTTCATTTCCCACAAAAGCAGCATCAACTGATTAATATTATATGACGCCCCCTCAATTTCCATGGTATCAGTTCGGCCAACAGAAACTGTCTTGGAAAGAAAGATTCATCTGAACCAGATTTAAAAGTTTCAATCAAATCACATCCTTCAAAACTTGAACAAAAGTTCACTTTTTTTCTTATCAAGCTGGAATCCAAATACAACATTTCTGGCACAGCATATTGAAGGAATAATGCCCCAAATTCTAATCTTTCAAGAACAGAGATTTTTGTTTTTGTTTTTATTTTTTATCAAATCCTATCTGCTCAACATGGAGTTTTCCTTGTACTTTAAGTCCATTATATGGTGAAATTCCTCCAAAGAAAACAAGTTTTGAGCTCGAAGGTCAAAGTACATAAATAAGGGGTATAGCTCTCAAATCTATGATCTATCACATCATAGAAGCTCAAAAGATAGAGAGAATTCATGGTGTAAATGTTTTCCCAGCAATGTCCGTAAACATATAGCATCTGCGTAAAGAGAATAAAGTTACAAAAGGAAATCCTATTGAAATGTGATCATTTGCACCATCTCAGTCAGAAATTTACATCAAATAGTTTGATCGCTCATTGGTATATATCAAACAAGGAAACTCAAATACTCAAGTCCTATGTCAATAATGTCAATACACAAGAATCTGACAAGAATTTGACAAAAGAATACCATACCTGAGCATCATACATAATGAGGCCAGCATACACAACTGATAAACCAAAAATGGGATCGGAGAAGCCTCTGCATTTCAAAATAATATGCTTACAAATAAACCCCAATAAAAGAAACTCCCCTATACAATTTTATGCTTGATTCTTGAAGTTCAAGAGAATACATTAAACAGAGGAATTTTCAATGAACCAAACACCTAGCTGGCACAACATAATCAATCTTCTTACCTCTCAAGACCAAGGAATGTTGCAGAAGCCACTGTTGCCTATCCACAGGAAAATGCAAATAACTTTGTGAGATTGACTCTGAAACCCAAAGCCCCAACAGGGTTATTTATAATAAACCATTCAAGTGACGTGGATAAAAATTGGATAACAACAAAACTCAGGTCCAATTTTTACTAGGTTTTTGCTATCGAAGTTTTCTATCAAGAAATATGACAAGTATATACCTGTTTGGGTAAACTAATAATAAGATTATTGATTTGTTATGCCCATTTAACCTCAGTCCTTTCAGTCAGTATTAGTCTTTTAGGACTAGGATCACTTGAGAAAAGTGAATTTTCAAAGCTTTGAGCCGGCCTTCTCTCTCCAAAGAGAGTTACACAAAAGATCCTTCAGTCAGCCATGGGCCAGAATCCAGCATAACCAAAGCTTTAGCCTGATTCCGAGCTAAGCTGCCTTTTAAGAGTTCCAACTCCATTTGGCAAGTTAGGGCTCGTTTGGTACATGGAATGGAATAAAATAGGACTGAAATGAAAAATCATCATTTGCTTGGGAAAAAATATTTCTCGTGCTCCTAGATTTTTTTTGAAAAAAAAAAAGTAACAAAAGGAATTATTATTGTTGAGTAACAATAACCAAAGTACAATAAATATTGCATATTTCAATGTTTGTGCAAGAAAAAGGAAATATCTTCTCTTTAATACATCCAAATGGGGCATGAGGGAAAGAGATTCCCTTTCCTTTATACAAAAAGCAAGATATGCAATATATATCACAGCCTTATTATTAGTACTCATCAATAACAGTTCTATTACTGTTTTCATTTAAGGACAAAATTGTTTTTCATTCATAAAACTTTTTCATCTTATTTTCCTTTATACTCATTTCCATACTGCTCATCAAAAAATCCTAGGAGAACGCAGAAAACAAAGAGCAGGGCTAGGGAGAAAAAGACAGTAGCAAACATTCCTACTTTCACATAAGTCATTTTGTTAAGCAATTCAAAGAGGTTGAAAACATTTACCAAGTTTCTTATTACAAGAACTAGTTCATCCATTCATTAATTTGTTTAGAAATAAAACTAGTTACGCAACATTTCAGAGACTTATTCTTTTAGATTTCAACATTGCAATCAAGAAATCTCCCCTATATTTTGTTTCTTAACTACTTATTATATAATTATCTCTAATCCAGAGGACAGGGGTTCAAGGTCATACGGACGAATGGGTTGATGGAAATCCTCCGGCCTGAATGACCGCCTTGATATCAAACTCTTTCCCATATAGAAGCACAGAAGTAAAGGGCTTCGAAATCTGCCCAATCGCCGCAGAAGCACCAGCTGCAATCAGAACCTTCGTAGCAGATACAAAATCATTTCAGCAACAAAAATAAGATTGAAAAAACAAAAAGAGTGGGACTGATAAAACGTGAAAATTGAGAGAAACCCATAATATGTAAAGCATTTAAGGATTGAATCTCGATATGGGGCACCTTGTTATGGGCCAATTGAGAGATGTCATCGAATGATAGAGCTGCAAGACAGGTGATCTTGAAGGTAGAAGCGTTGGCGTTTCTGAGACGATGTTGCGGAAGTTGATGGTGAAGAATAGGATTTCGATGACCGCCTGATGAGACGAAAGAGATCAGAGACGGAAGAGCAGAGACGGTGGAATGCAACAAGAACATGGCCTCTCTTTCACTCGTTCGGTCCACTCTATCTTGAAAGTTGCAACTTACCGAGTCGCAATTTTGAATTCCGCGTACTAGTTGGTTGTTGCGCCGTTTTGCTGCCGCCACATGCTAGCAATTTTAGAGCGTGGTTCACGTTGACAACCAAAACTACAATGCTTGTGGTTATTGCAGGTAACTTTAACCAAGATATCTTCTTCAGCAAGTTAATATTAAAAGAAAAAATGGTAACAAAATCCCCCTATGAATAATAATTTAATCTTTTAAAATATTATAATTTTTTTAAAGTTTATAAAAATTTTTTTATTATTAATAAATGTATATAAATTATTAAATTATTCTGACTAAAAATAAATAATTTATAAATTTTATTTAAATATTCATAATTTTTTTTTTATATTCACAACAATATAACAGCGAATTAAAAATTATATGTGCAACATGCGAAATTATAATTTACTGTTATATTATTGCGAATATAAAAAAAAAGTTGTGAATATTTAAATAAAATTTATAAATTATTTATTTTTAATAAAGTCAATTTGATAATTTATATAAATTTATTAATGACAAAAATTCTTAAAATTTTAAAAAAATCATTATATTTCGAGGACTAAATTATCATTTATACATTTTAAAAAAATTTTATTATTATTTTCTCATATTAAAATTGCATGTTCTATATTTACTTTAATTTAATAGTTATCACTTCTTTTTTAAAAAAATGTTATTAATTGCATATTGGAAAACTTAAAATAAAATACTTTATATTCTTTTCATTTTAAATTATAAAACACTTCTAAAAAAATTTAATATCCCAAATTTTTTCATGGTATCAAAAGAAAAAATTAACATCTCAATGCATTAAACACTTAAATAAAAATAAAATTTTATTAATGATACTTTTTTAATATTATCCCTCACATATATTCTCTCTGTTTTTTTTTTTTGGCAAACAGAATATTAAATAAAAGGCATTCTTAAACTTTTATAAGTTTGTTTCAGAAAAATAAAATTATCAAGTGTGTTTAATAAACTTTATTAGCACACCTGGTTTTATGCCTTATAAATTGAGAGAGGGAGTAGTTTTTTAACATGATAAATTATTATTACTACTACTACTAATGTTAAAACATTTATAGATTTTTACCTTTTTTTCTAAAAACAATGTGCTCCTTTTTGTTTTTTTTTTTTGGGAAAGGAATATGCCCTTAAAACTTAGGTTAAGAGACAAACAGGCCAAATGGAAATAATTCAATGTTTCATGCAAAATCTTCAATTCAAGTTTTACACAAGAAAAAAAAAGGTAAAAGAGCTACTTTTTATTTATCATGTTACTTGTTTACAAAAAGAAAAAAATTATGCTTTGCTAGTTTGCTTCACTGCTTGTTTTCTTTCTTTTATCATGATACTTTCAAATTAAAAATTAACATGGATGATAGGTAACTAAATTATTTAATATAATAACAAACAAACAAACTTCATAAATTATTTGATCGCTTGACAAGTCCAATCTCTTGTTTTCCAAGTATAAACTTGAATTCATATTCCAGCAAAGCACTCTGCAAAAATGCACTAATTAGCTGGACATTCAAAGAGGTAAGCCATACTTCTTTGAAATATTATCCATGTATAACAGATTTCAAAGCACAGGTCTAAAAAGATCAGCGATATCAAGATTATACAAAATCATATTTTTCTGTTTAGATACATTAATTAGAAAATATTACCAGAAGCCTTCTTATCAGAGGAAGCAAAATTGCTTCACTGCACAAGTAATTTTGATTTCATTGCTACTAAATAAATAAATTATACAATATTATTTATCATCAAAACATCCTCTCACCATCTACACCATTTCCTTTGAAATTTCATGTACATCCACACCATATCTGCATCCAACATCAGAGTTATTACTGATTCTTTCTATGCCCGCAGATAAAGTACCAATAAGCTCAAGGAGGAAGCTTAGGAGCAGCCGGGCAGCTTCCACGTTTGCCATTAAGTTACTTGATTAAAACACAAGTCGAGATTTTTTACAGCTCAAAATAGTTTTTTTGAGAGAAAACACAACAGTAGATCCTTTACTTTGATTACTTTTTGTTTATAGTTCATAGTTTCTAAAGTTTTTTATCATAGTTCTTAGCTCCTTTAGTTTGATCAATTTGTAATGTTAGTCCCTGTAGTTTTAAAAATACATATAAAAACCATGAGCTAGCATTGACGGAAATAATTCCACAGTAGCTCTCTTAACCCTTTACTGACAGTAAAAATACAAGGTATGATTGAAAATACACATAAGTAAAAAGCTCTTTTATATTTGGAACGTGGGAGATGGTGAGATTAAGTATACATCAACGTAAAGGTTAATAGAGTTCAGTACGTGTAAGCAAAATAAACTGTGTCAATGTCAGCTCACTCATGATCCTTATGCACTTTTTCAAAACTATAGGGACTAACATTGTGGATGGATCAAACTAAAGGAACTGGGAATAATGAAATAAAACTATAGATACTTAAAAAAAAAAAACACACACACACACAATCAAATTATAGGAACGTATTGTTGTATTTTCCCTTTTTTCAAGAAAAAAAAATCTCTCTACATGTTATGTCCTTACTGGACAACATAAACCAATAATTTGTGGCCTTCGGACCAAGTTCAGGATTACCTTCGCACCCGAATGTTACACAACATGGAAGAGGATGTCATCACTAGCAGCTACAGAAGCATTCCCGTGAAGCACCATGAGAATCATGGAACAAGTTATAACCATTTTCTTCCTATCCGCTCCAACAACCTGCCTTCTTCATCCTTCGAAATGTGAGGATCAAGGTCCGTGAGATTCTTAACAAAATCGTCTGCTTCATCCTGTCGATTCAGCTTACGATACCCATCAACTATAGAGTTGTAAGTACTCTGGTTTGGCCTACACCCCAGCTTGATCATGTATCGAACGACATCAATAGCCTCCACAAACATTGAGTTAGCAGCATAAGTTGAAACAAAAGTGTTGTACGTGACAACATCAGGAACAAGGCCATTATCTTTCATTTCAGATAATATCCGTGAAGCCTCCCCCATCCTACCGTTTCTACAGTATGCATAAATAACTGTATTGTAAGAAATTATATCAGGCTTGATTCCTTTCCCCAGAATTTCCCTCAAGATTTCTTCTGATTTTTGGAAATTCCCCGAACGGCTATACATATACATCAAACTGTTATAAGTGGTCAAGCTTGGAGTAAATCCAGTCTCACGCATGAAGTTCAAAATTTCATTGGTTTTGGCCACCAACTGCTTCCTCCCATATATTGATAGCATTGCATTAAGAGTAGTTATGTCAGGTGAAACCTCTCTTCTCCGTAACTCCAAGAAAGCGCGCTCTGTTTCCATCAGGAGGTCACTCTTGCTATTTACTAGAACAAGGGTCTTCAAAAGCACAGGATGTGTTTCAACTGAACCACAATATATCTCCTCCGCAAGAGCTTTCATCTTCTCAATCTCCTTACCATTGGCATATGCATGAAGCAAAGAAGAGTATGATAACTCATTAGGTTTACACCGACCACCCTTCATTTCTGCAAGGACTTTCTCCGACTGTTCCCAAAGCCCTCCTCGTGCCAACGCTGCCAAAACAGCATTATAGGTAGAAAGGTCAGGAGTCACTCCAGCTTCCAACATTCTCTTGTAAACGGCCATTGCTTGGTCAAAGGAACCACACCTGCTGTATGCACTGATCAAGGTGTTGAAGGTGTCCCTCTCTGGAACAAATCCTGCTCTCTTCATTTCTTTAAAAACCCCTGATACCTCAGAATCCATTCCATTCTGCCCAAATACAGCTAAAAGTGTGTTCCAAGTAACAATATCAGGGGTACATTTGCACAACTTGATCTCTTCGAAAACCTTCATCATTTCTTCAAACTTTCCCCGGTTACCATACATCTTAATAAGGGCATTAAATGTACAAATATTAGGTTTACAACCCATTGCCATCATTTCTTTAAGAACTTCCATTGCAAAATCATCTTTTCCAGCCTTCTCAAATCCAGATAAAAGGGTGGTATAGGTGAAAACATCAGGTTTGATTCCTTTCTCCATCATTTGGTTTTTAAGCAGTGTTGCTTCCTGCAACAACCCACCTTTAGCACAAGCAGATATCAATGAATTGTAAGTTACAATGGTTGGGGGAAATCCATTACTCTCCATCTCTTTCAGAACCTCCATGGCTTCCTTTGGCCGCCAGGACTTACCATAAACATCCAATAACGCATTGTATGTAACCTTGTCAGGTGTAAATCCATGTAATTTCATCTCCTCAAAAACTTCAACAGCTTCTTTGTACAAAGAATTGCGGCGACAACAGCTTATAAGTGTATTGTAAGTGTACAAATCCGGCGCAACCCCGTTTATTTTCATACCCTCAACAAGCGCTATAACTTTACTCCAAGGCATGCCCATTTTACCATAAACATTCAAAATCACATTATAGGTAATTAAAGTAGGTGTACACCCCTCTTCTTCCATCTTGTTGAATACCATCACAGCCTCCCTGTACCTCCCATTATTAGAATAAGCTGTTATTAAAGAAGTATAAGCATAAACATCTATTACAACCCCATTTACTTGCAGACTGTGAAGCAAAGCAGCAGCCGATGAAACCCGACCCGCTTTACCAAGAAGGCTAACAATAACGGCAATTGCAGAACCAGTCAAGAGCGTGACATAATCTTCCCTTTTTCGAACCCATTCAAACACACTCAATGCCAAGTCAAGTTTATTGTTAAACCCTAAACCCTTAATTATGCCCAAAATATCTGAAGACAGTGAGTCCCCACTAGAACCTAAAGATTGACTTAACGTTTCATCCAATTGCTTGAAATCAAATGATGGGTCGGTTAAGGTTTGGAGTACCTGCGCACCTTGAGCTGAAAGCCGATGATTCAACCAAGGCTTGCCGCGGTTGGGGTCTAAGGACTTGCCGATGCGGCTTCGACTTCGTGTCCTGGTTGGCTCGTCTGGGTATTGAGCATTATTGTGCTGGTGTTGCGAAGAATTGGAATCATGGTTCAAAAGGAGGTCTTGGAAAAGAGGGGTCATTGGCGGTGTTGGAGGAGGCGTGGGTGACGTGGGATGAAACTGAGGATGACTGGGAAAGAGGGGTCTGGAGGGTGGTGGGTTTGGAAGAAGAAGAGGCACAGCGAGCTTCTCCGCCATTGATGAAGGAAGGAAGAAGTGAGGAAGGCCAAGCGTGATGTGAGAGAGAGAGAGAGAGTGAAAGTGAAGGAGCGAGGCTTGCTCAAACGTTTCCGGCAACAGGCAAGCTGAAGAAGACGACCAGTAACTAGAGGCTGGGGAGTTGAGTAAGCTTGTGACATTTGTTGTTATTTTTTTGGTTTTATTATGTATTATATCTATGTTTTACTTGAAGAGTGCTCTTCCAAATAAAATACAGAATTAATAATTTAAATTAAATCTAACAAATTAGTTTGAATTCGTCTGAAAAAAATTAAAATTAAAATTAAAATTAATTATATATACTTTTTTAAAAGTAGGATATTTTAAATTCAATTTAAATAAATTCAACTTAAATTAATCTTGATCCAATTGAATCCAACAATTAGAATTTTTAACTTTATATATATATATATAAAGGTGGTAATTTTTATCAAACCCAATAAGCCAGCCTGAATTTAGCTAAAAAAAATTAAGATCGGACTTTACTATATAAGTTTTTTTAAAAAAATAAGATATTTTAAGCCTGATCTAAATAAGTCAATTGAAATTAAACTTGATTTGAATAAATCCAACCTGTTGACATTAGTGGCTCTAAAAATACAATAAATGTTTCCTACTTTTGATTTTATAAAAAATTTCACAACTTTTCATATCTAAGGTGGAATAAAGATAAGAGACAATTACCGTAAAATGCCCCACAATTATTTAAATACTGAAAGTTTCATGAAATTTTTGAATAATTATCCAATCTCTTATAACTTAGGAATAAATGCGATTGAAATGATAATGATCAAAAAGCTCATATTATAAGATGTTTGGTTGATAACTTGGTAACAATCATTTATTATAAGGCTAAAACTATTAACAAATGAGGTATTTATCGTTCAATTGATAAATTTGTACTTGTCATTAATAGATGCCTCACTTGTCAATACATTTACCTCATAGTAAAAGGTCATTGCCAAGTTATCTATATCCCATCTCATAATATGAATATTTTGATCATTATTATTTCAATCTTATTTACTCCTTAATTTTTAGTAAACCTTAATTTTCAAGATTCGACAGATATTTTTAAATTTGATAGGACATTTGAATATTTTAAAAGTTTGCAGGGATTTTATGGTGATTTTTCCTAAATATAATAATTGATTTATTTAAAACACCTAATTAATTACCTGAGTAATTGAAAAAATATATAAAAAAACTATCAAATATCATACATTTTAGACTAAGTAAACTTTCAAAAAATGAACAATGTTGTAATCTGGAGGAAATATTTATTATCCATCTATTATCGACTAGTTATTATATTAGATTAGAAGGCACACCCTTGATCTTGAATTATAGGATAAAGTTGAAATTTTTTTTTTATCCCAAACTATGAGACAATTTAAAAAAAAATAAGATTTATTAATAATACTTTTTTAATATTAACTTTTTAAATAGAGAAAAAATTAAAATGATATTGTAGCGTGATGATTAAATATGTAAGGGTATTTTTAAAGGTTTATATTTTTTATTTGAAAAAGTAACTAACTAAGTTTATAAAATGCCATTATTGTGTTTTATTAACATGTATAATCTTATCTCAAATTATCTTATAATTTGGAATGAAGGAAAGAATAAATAGTGACATTGGATGCTAATAATCAGAAAACTAAATAAAAACATTAGAGGAAAATGTGGCAAACACATATTCCTTTAGTCTTATTTATAGATTTAACAAGAAGAAAGTTAAAATTTATTAAATTTTTAGATAAAGTTAATAAAATTTAAATTTTTTTTGTTTTAATAAAAATATTAAAAATGACTTATAAATCGAACTAAATGAAATAACGGTAAATGTGTATTTTTATTTTTGAAATATTTTTCAAGGAGCACCCAACACCCTAATATTTTTATTAAAGCAATTTTATCCTTAATGTTATCAAAATGAAGTATTTGTGCCATTTCTGTCAAATTTCTAACATTGACCTCACATTAACTGTTAAAAAATTTAACAAAAAGGGTAAAAATACTTTATTTTGATAACATTAAAGGAAAAATTATTTTAATAAAAATATTATGGTGTTGAGTGCTATTCATAAAATATTTTAAGAATAAAAGTGCGCCTTTATCAAGAAACAACATAGGAGAAATATTTAAGATTTAAACAAACAATTTTCTCTTTTATCCCCTCTGCACTCAACATTAATAGCTGAATAATAATAATAAGGGAGAATGACAATTAAGGACCTTCTAAGAACATTAATCTCAATTACGGGCCGTAAAATTTTGAAATCCTAGTTAAGAATCATGGCCCTTAATTGTGATAAAAAAATATAGTTTGTAAGGTGAGATTCACTAACGTGATTTGAGAATTTACTAACCTAACTTGGGAAAATTACTAACGTATATTGTGAAAATATAAAACCCCACTTAAAAATGAAATGTTTAACAAAAAGCGTCACTTGAGAATTCACTAACTATACTTGAAAAAATTTCTAACATATATTATGAAAAAATGAAACCCTACTTGAGAATCATTAATAAAAAGTGACTTGTCCAAATTGATGTTTTTTATTAAACAATCGATTCTCAGGTGGAGTTTCATATTTTCATAATAAACGTTAGAAATTTTTTCAAGTTGAGTTAGTGAATTTTCAAGTGGCGTTTTTTGTTAAACAATTGATTTTCAAGTGAGTTTCATATTTTCACAATATACATTACAAATTTTCTTAAGTTGGGTTAGTGAATGCCCCAAGTAACAATAATGAATTCCACCTCACAAACCATATTTTTTTATCACAATTAAGGACTATGATCCTTAATTGAGATTTCAAAATTTCACGGTTCATAATTGAGATTAATGTTCTTAGAAGTTCCTTAATTGTCATTCTCCCTAATAATAATATCCACGGAAAATGCGGCCCAAAAATGGGAGAAATACCAATAAAGGATTTCACAAGAATATTAATGTTTAATACTAAATATTTCATCATAACTTAAATTTTTAAATTCAGTATTTATTCTTTTATGTTTCAATGCTGGAACTTTTTTTTGGGGGAAAAATCATGATCTAATATTAATCTTTTTATGAGATACTTAATTATCGTCTTTACTTAGGAGAATAATCCAAAATAATAATAATAATTGGCCTTCGTCACTGACCAAGACTTCAAGTCTCCGTACACTGTGCCTAGCATTTGGAGGTATTCAAGAGCTGACAATATTGCTGAAGGCTGAAGCAATCACTTGACACGAGAATACAAACATAGAGTTCTTAGTTTGCTTTTACAGTCTAATATCAGAGAGCAGAATCAAATTGTTGCTAGAAATCATTTAAGTTGAATAGAAACTTTGCTTTTATGAAGATTAATAAGATGGTTAACTTTGTTTTATCAGTTAGCTATGGTAACGTGAAATCAACTAGTCGTAATCTATAATATCTGAAAGTTGCAAGTGATTATTCTCATATCTTCATAACACAAACTAGAAAAATAAAAGGAGACGAAATAGTACAATTTTTTTTTTGAACAATTCAACAACATATGTTTTATTGTAAATTAGTTATTAATGTAGAAATAGAGCTAGTAATTTAGGTCAAATTTAATAGGCTAACCCGAACTCACTTGAAAAAAGTTAGGGTTGGGCTTGATCACGTGGGCTTTAAAAAAAAAAAAGGTATGATATTCTAAGCCTTATCCGAATAAGACCAGCCTAAATTGAGCTTGGCTCGAATAAGCCTGGCTATCAAAATTACCAACTTTATATGTATGTAGAGAAGGTAATTTAAACCATATCCGATGGGCTAGCTCAAGCCCGCTTGAAAAAAGTTATGGTCAGTCTTGATTATACGAGCTTTTTTAAAAGGGTAGTATACTTTAAATCCAACCTAAATTGAGTCCGGCTCAAATAAGTCTGACCTATCCTAATCACCAGTAGCAATCCTTTTCATTTCATTCCCACACTTCACTAGTCATCATATTGTTTTGATCTTTGATTTAAATCTTTATGTTAAATACGTCCAGTAACTGAAGAATATATGGATATTATTTGGTGCTGATTGATATTTCTGGGAAGGGGTTACAAAATTTGAATATTGTTCTCTTCTCTTTATAATGAACAATAAATAGCCAATCCATCTATTGTATTTTTTTTAGGTTGATAATAATAAAGATGTATTATTCAGATTAGCCCATAATATTTTTCATGGTGTTAAGAGTATGTCTCTCTCTTCCTCTCTTTTTCAATTTTCATCTAAACGATGCATTTAGCACATCCACCCAAGAAACCTTAAGCCCTAGTTTCCATCGACTTTCTTTCTCTCTTCTCCCTTTCATCTCACCACAAGAAAACCTTCCACATCACCAAGAATCTTAACACTCGTCTTTCCTAATTACTTCGATCAATCTTCCATGAGAAATGGTTGGTGATGGTGAAAGCAATGTAGGCAAACCAAATCAAGTGTGTCGTATGACCAGAACACATCATCATTAATGCTCGATGTCTCGCATCCTCTCTTTGTTCATCCATCTGATACCCAAATCATGTCGCTCATCACACAACCTCTCGTTGGAAGTAGAAATTACGTGATTTAGATTTACGTGATGAGAGTTGTAAAATCTCTCTTACTATTCCCTAATTAACCCCAAATCTCCATTACTAAAGAGATTACATCAAGTAAATGACAAGTTGTCAAAATCTACAATTGGATTATATAAATCAGATCCTGAGTTTTCAATGTTTTAAAAAACCTCAAAAGGTTTTACAAATGAAAAGTCAGAGTTTATTAGCTATGCGGAAGCATGGGATTATTAAAAGAATCATTGCATTTGCTTAAAACTAGAAAACAGTGAAATTTTGCAGAATCAGAGGCATGCACCACGGCTCATTAAACTCATACATGGCTTATGAGCCTTTGTACCATGCGCTGCGGCTTGTTGAACAATGCGCCAAGGTGCATTGCACGTTTGACGACAACAAAATTCTACTGTCAATTTGATAGCAATTGGAGAAAATTCTAATGTGCCCTAATTCTTTGTTCGATGTCCGATTGATGCGATCTAGGTGTCTACAGAAAGTTTTTTTCAAGCTCTAATTAATGGTTTTGATTTCACACTCAAATTATTTCTCATATAAG